TGGTGTGGTTATGAGATATGTGATATTAGTTATGAACAAAATGGTGTTAGTTATGAGATGTGGTTATAATATATGTGGGTAAAGGTAATGAGATATATGATTAGTGATTATTAGATATGTGATTTTGGTTATGAGCAAAGTGGTGTCAAAGGGTGTGGTTATGCTATATGTATTAATGGTTATGAGTTATGAGATATTGGTTATGTGACTAGTGGTTGTGAGATATGTGATGTTGGTTATGAGGCAAATGGTGTTGGTTATGAGATGTGGTTATAATATATGTGGGTAAAGGTAATGAGATATATGATTAGTGATTATTAGATATGTGATTTTGGTTATGAGCAAAGTGGTGTCAAAGGGTGTGGTTATGCTATATGTATTAATGGTTATGAGTTATGAGATATTGGTTATGTGACTAGTGGTTATGAGATATGTGATGTTGGTTATGACTCAAAGGGATTGGTTATGAGATGTGGTTATGATGTATGTGGGTAGTAGTTATGAGATATATGATTAGTGGTTATGAGATATGTGATATTTGTTATGATCAAAGTGGTGTTGGTTATGAGATATGTGATTATGATTATGAAATATGTGATGTTAGTTATGACTAAAATGGTGTTGGTTATGAGATGTGGTTATGAAATATGTGATATTAGTTATGAACAAAATGGTGTTGGTTATAAGATGTAGTTATAGCTAAGTTATGATCAATTTGATTATAGTTATGAAGAAATATGATTTTAGCTCATAACTATAAAAAGTGACCTATTTATCAGGTCACTTTTAATGATGTGGCTTAATCCTAACCATTGATTTTATATGTACCGTACATTTTTTGTACAAAATGTACTATAGACTTTCCCATCAAGCTGCTACACTTGCTTAGACACTTGAATCTTGAGCTAAACAGAGCTATAAAACTAACAAAACAGTGAAAGCAAAAACATTTGCTTACCCACCGATTAAAAAGACAGAGTGATTCTACCTACATCACTAATTTACTTCTTTACATTTTTTATTTCATTACACTACTCAAAAAAAATGTGATTCTCATTACACAAATTATACTACCAAAACTAACCCTAATCTAAAAACTCTTCAACACTATTTTAATTTTGTCTCTTTATACCGATAGTTTTTGGTAATACAATGTTAAAGGATTGGAATTACTCGAGTGTTATATTACCAGACAAACTTTTTTCAGCCATTTATTCTCGTTTGATTAGATGATTTTACTTTACTTCAACAAGAAATTAGCTGAAACCCATTTGTAAAGTGCATCTTCAATGATACATTACTATACAAAGTGGATTACTCCAGTGTCATGTTGTCAAACTAAAATAAATTTGTCCAGCCACTTGTCGCTTTACGTGCGTTGTAGATTGTCTGCATTGTTATCGCATTAAAGATATCCTTTCGTTTCAATGTAATAAATATCTCTTTTAATCGTACCATACTCTTTGACATGTCGACTAACAATGATGTTTCCTCC